AGAGCTGAGAAAGCTTTCTTTTCTTTCAAAAAAAAAAAAAAAAAAGCTGTGAGGCCTAATTTTCCTGACCTGAGCTATCATTTTCCTTTTATCATCTGTGGGCCATATTTCCTGGTTTCACATTGCCCAGCCACCCTCTGCTTGGACAGGGTGGACCGGGGAGACTACAACTCCCCAAAGCCTCAGCGGCAGGGCGCTCTGCGGCTGGGCTCGTCTGAGTGACAGGTCGGGCAGCCATTGGCTTCACGCGGTCTCAGACTCCGTTGCCAATCAGATGCTGAGTGGTTGTGTCGCCCTGTTTCTGCGGCTCGGGGCGGAAATGGTGTGGAAAGGAACCGCCTCGAGCCACGCCCCTCGCGGCTCCTGACTGGACGCGGGAAGTGACGTCTGCGCGCACCACGCGGCAGTCGTCCCGCCCATGTCCAGCTCGGACTGGACGGGGCAGCTTCGGGTCTGGGTCCCGCACGTCCCTGGCAGCCCCTGAGCGGGCGCGTACCCGCCTGTCCGTCCGCCAGAACCTCGCCCTGTAGCTTGGCCCTGCCTGCCCTTGTCTGGGAGGAGGAACGCGCAGTAGGAGCCCAGACCCTGTCTTCTGCCACGCTGCCTGCCCGCGCCCAGCACGGGCGGGACAGGCCGGACTGTTCCTCCTCATCCAGCAGAGCCACTCAGGGCCGGGCAGAGGGCGAGGTTCTGAACCTAGACCTGCACCTCACTCGTCCAGGGAGGCCAGGCAGCCACCGGCGAGGAAGGAGGTGGCGTTCTGAGCGCGCACTGGAAAAAGTCATTAGCGGCAGTGCAGAGGGCGGGAGGAGGCGCTCTCCGGCAGCTTCCGGGTCGCGTTAGGGGCAGCAGGAGCGCTAAGGGGGTGGGGTGCTGGCGGGAGACTGACAGATTCCCGGTCCAGTCAGGGGCAGAAGGAGCGCCAAGGGGGTGGGGTGCTGGCGGGAGACTGACAGGATCCCGGTCCAGTCAGGGGAAGGCAGCACCGCCAAGGGGGTGGGGTTTAGGCGGGAGACTGACAGGTTCCCCGTCCAGTCTGGGGCAGGCAGGGGACCGCTAAAGGGGTGGGGTGCTGGCGGGAGACTGACAGGTTCCCCGTCCAGTCAGGGGCAGAAGGAGCGCCGAGTGGGTGGGGTTTACTCTCTTTTCTCGAAAATAAAAGCTCTATGATCTAATTTTCCTGACCTAAGTTATCATTTTTCTTTTATCATCTGTGGGCCATATTCCCTGGTTTCACATTGTCCAGCCACGCTCGGCTTGCACAGAGCGGGGCGGGGAGACTACAACTCCCAGAAGCCTCAGCGGCGGCGGCGACGCTCTACGTGTGGGCTGTACTGGCCTGAGTGACAGGTAGCCGACCCAATGGCTTCCCCGGTCTCAGACTCCGAACCGCTCAGACGCGGGGTGGGTGTGTGCTTCCTGTTTCGGAGGCGTCTGCTCGGGGCGGAAATTCTATATGTAAGAGCTGAGAAAGCTTTCTTTTCTTTCAAAAAAAAAAAAAAAAAGCTGTGAGGCCTAATTTTCCTGACCTGAGCTATCATTTTCCTTTTATCATCTGTGGGCCATATTTCCTGGTTTCACATTGCCCAGCCACCCTCTGCTTGGACAGGGTGGACCGGGGAGACTACAACTCCCCAAAGCCTCAGCGGCAGGGCGCTCTGCGGCTGGGCTCGTCTGAGTGACAGGTCGGGCAGCCATTGGCTTCACGCGGTCTCAGACTCCGTTGCCAATCAGATGCTGAGTGGTTGTGTCGCCCTGTTTCTGCGGCTCGGGGCGGAAATGGTGTGGAAAGGAACCGCCTCGAGCCACGCCCCTCGCGGCTCCTGACTGGACGCGGGAAGTGACGTCTGCGCGCACCACGCGGCAGTCGTCCCGCCCATGTCCAGCTCGGACTGGACGGGGCAGCTTCGGGTCTGGGTCCCGCACGTCCCTGGCAGCCCCTGAGCGGGCGCGTACCCGCCTGTCCGTCCGCCAGAACCTCGCCCTGTAGCTTGGCCCTGCCTGCCCTTGTCTGGGAGGAGGAACGCGCAGTAGGAGCCCAGACCCTGTCTTCTGCCACGCTGCCTGCCCGCGCCCAGCACGGGCGGGACAGGCCGGACTGTTCCTCCTCATCCAGCAGAGCCACTCAGGGCCGGGCAGAGGGCGAGGTTCTGAACCTAGACCTGCGCCTCACTCGTCCAGGGAGGCCAGGCAGCCACCGGCGAGGAAGGAGGTGGCGTTCTGAGCGCGCACTGGAAAAAGTCATTAGCGGCAGTGCAGAGGGCGGGAGGAGGCGCCCTCGGGCAGCTTCCGGGTCGAGTTAGGGGCAGCAGGAGCGCTAAGGGGGTGGGTGGGGTGCTGGCGGGAGACTGACAGGTTCCCGGTCCAGTCAGGGGCAAAAGGAGCGCCGAGGGGGGTGGGGTTTAGGCGGGAGACTGAGAGGTTCCCCGTCCAGTCAGGGGCAGAAGGAGCGCCAAGGGGGTGGGGTGCTGGCGGCAGACTGACAGGATCCCGGTCCAGTCAGGGGCAGGCAACATGGTCTTGAACCCAGCTCACTCTTCTCTTTTCTTAGTTTGAAGGCAGAGTGGACAGTGAGAGAGAGACAGAGAGAAAGGTCTTCCTTTGCCGTTGGTTCACCCTCCCATGGCTGCTGCGGCCGGCGCACCGCGCTGATCCGATGGCAGGAGCCAGGTACTTTTCCTGGTCTCCCATGGGGTGCAGGGCCCAAGCACCTGGGCCATCCTCCACTGCACTCCCTGGCCACAGCAGAGAGCTGGCCTGGAAGAGGGGCAACCGGGACAGAATCCGGCGCCCCCACCGGGACTAGAACCCGGTGTGCCGGCGCCGCAAGGTGGAGGATTAGCCTATTGAGCCACGGCGCCGGCTCGATCAAGGAGCTTTTTTTAAAAGAAAAGAGAGGAGAGAGCTGTGTGAAATGCGGTTCAGCACCACTTCCGCCCCGAGCCGCTGAAACAGGAAGCACACGCCCGCCCAGCCTCTGATTGGTCCCCGAGTCTGAGACCGGAGAAGCCATAGGCTGTGCTACCTGTCACTCGTACGAGCCCAGCCCAGTCGTAGAGCGCCGCATCCGCCGCCGCTAGGGCTCCTGGCAGCTGTAGTTCAGGGCTGCGTTCAGACAAGGCAAGTGTGCCTGCACAATTTGAAATCAGGAAAGATGGCCCAAAAATGATAAAAGAAAAATGATAACTTAGGTCCGGAAAATTAGATCATAGAGCTTTTATTTTCAAGAAAAGAGAGAAGTGAGTTGGGTTGAACGTGGTTTGTTTCAAGACCACGTCCGTCGGGAGCCGCAGAAACAGGAAGCCCGCAACCACCCAGCATCTGATTGGCCCCCGGGTCTGAGACGCGTGAAGCCATTGGCTTGCGGACCTGTCACTCAGGCGAGTCCAGCCCAGACGCAAAGCGACGCTCTCGCTGAGCCGTTTGGGAGTTGTGGTCTCCCCGCTCCGCCCAGTTCAAGCCTAGCGTGGCTGGGCAATGTGAAACCAGGAAATATGGCCCACAGATGATAACAGAAAAATGATAGCTCAGGTCAGGAAAATTAGGCCTCACAGCTTTTTTTTTTTTTTGAAAGAAAAGAAAGCTTTCTCAGCTCTTACATATAGAATTTCCGCCCCGAGCAGACGCCTCCGAAACAGGAAGCACACACCCACCCCGCGTCTGAGCGGTCCGGAGTCTGAGACCGGGGAAGCCATTGGGTCGGCTACCTGTCACTCAGGCCAGTACAGCCCACACGTAGAGCGTCGCCGCCGCCGCTGAGGCTTCGGGGAGTTGTAGTCTCCCCGCCCCGCTCTGTGCAAGCCGAGCGTGGCTGGACAATGTGAGACCAGGGAATATGGCCCACAGATGATAAAAGAAAAATGATAACTTAGGTCAGGAAAATTAGATCATAGAGCTTTTATTTTCAAGAAAAGAGAGAAGGCCAGCGCCGCGGCTCACTAGGCTAATCCTCCAGCTAGCGGCGCCGGCACACCGGGTTCTAGTCCCGGTGGGGGCGCCGGATTCTGTCCCGGTTGCCCCTCTTCCAGGCCAGCTCTCTGCTGTGGCCAGGGAGTGCAGTGGAGGATGGCCCAAGTGTTGGGCCCTGCACCCCATGGGAGACCAGGAAAAGTACCTGGCTCCTGCCATCGGATCAGCGCGGTGCGCTGGCCACAGCGCACCGACCGCAGCGGCCATTGGAGGGTGAACCAACGGCAAAAGGAAGACCTTTCTCTGTCTCTCTCTCTCACTGTCCACGCTGCCTGTCAAAAAAATAAAAGGCGGCGCTGCGGCTCACTAGGCTAATCCTCCGCCTAGCGGCGCCGGCACGCCGGGTTCTAGTCCCGGTGGGGGCGCCGGATTCTGTCCCGGTTGCCCCTCTTCCAGGCCAGCTCTCTGCTGTGGCCCGGGAGTGCAGTGAAGGATGGCCCAGGTGCTTGGCCCTGCACCCCATGGGAGACCAGGAGAAGTACCTGGCTCCTGCCATCACATCAGCGCGGTGCGCTGGCCGCTTTGGCCACTGGAGGGTGAACCAACGGAAAAGACCTTTCTCTCTGTGTCTCTCTCATGGTCTATAACTCTGCCTCTCAGATAAATGTAATCTTTTTTTTAAAGATTTATGTATTTGAAAGGGTTACACAGAAGTTTTTATTCACAAGAAGCTATGAGCTAATGTATAATCTTTAAGTTTTTTTTTGTTTTTTGTTTTTTGGTTTTTTTGAAGGCAGAGTGGACAGTGAGAGAGAGACAGAGAGAAAGGTCTTCCTTTGCCGTTGGTTCACCCTCCAATGGCTGCTGCGGCCAGCGCACCGCGTTGATCCGAAGCCAGGAGCCAGGTGCTTCTCCTGGTCTCCCATGGGGTGCAGGGCCCAAGCACTTGGGCCATCCTCCACTGCACTTCCTGGCCACAGCAGAGAGCTGGCCTGGAAGAGGGGCAACCGGGACAGAATCCGGTGCTCAAATGGGATGTTAGCATTGTAGGCCAGGGTGTTAAACCACTGCACCACAGCGCTGGCCCCATAAATAAAATCTTTAAAAAAAATGCACATTGGACAGTTAACTCAGAAATCAGGAAAAGTGACCAGCTAACATGTGAAAACTTCACAATTTAGGTTTTCAAATTAATGAAAATATAATTATAAATTCATCAATATTGTGTCATAGAGTTCTGAAATTTTACTCTTGTGAGGATTTTGTAATCTGTTTCCCTTCTATTTGTTTATTGATTATTTCTAGAAGATTGCTGTGTGCTATCATTCATATTTTTATTTTTTCTTTATTTTAAAATTATTGTTTTAATTGCCCATATTTTTGTGGTATAGTATGGTAATAGATTCATATATACAAATGTGCAATAATTAAATCAGGCTCAGATTTTTTTAAAGAATGGCTTTTTTTTTGAGAAAAAGAGAAAGAGCTACCATTTGTTGTTGCACTCATGTTCTTAAAGATTTCTTTGAAACACAGAGAGAAAGAGAGAGGGTGACATGGAGAACGACATCTTCCACCACCACTTCTTTCAACAAGTGGTTATAACAGCCAGGGCTTGGGTAGGTGGAAGCCTGCAGCCAAGAACACCATTTAGCTCTCCTGTGTGGTCATCAGGTACATTAACAGGAAGCTGCATCAGAACTGGAGCGGTGATGACTTTGGCATGTGATATAGGCAACCCAGCCCACTGTATCAGATTGCTTATTCCTAGGCTTGTTTCTACTGAAATTGGGCCCGATGTTGTTGGTTGAGAGAAGCAGTAGAAAATGACTCAGCCTAGAGTTTTTTGTGGCCCTTGGGGAAATAAAGCAACAAAAGGGCAATCTCTCTGTATTTCTGTCTGGCTCTGTTTCTCTCTGTCTCTGTAAGTCTGACTTTTCAATAAATAAATCTTGAAAAAAATCACTGAGATTTTTATGAGAACAAAGAACATTTTTTGCAACTCTTTTATTCTCCTCAGAGTATGCACAAGTAATCAAAATGCTGGGAAATGGACGATTAGAAGCAATGTGCTTTGATGGTGTAAAGCGATTATGCCATATTAGAGGAAAATTGAGAAAGAAGGTAGGTGTATAGATTTCTTTTATTATAAAATTTGCTGCAAAGAATTACTTTACTTCAAGTATACAACTGTTTGCCAAGCAGTTCAATTTTGTAAATTGCCAAAGACTTAAAACGAAACAGTTATTTATTTGAGAACACAAATTAAACTTCTCAAAAGATTCTATTTGTATAAAGAATTATATATTGTAGCTGTAAATGTTTACTGGATAGTTAATATAGAAATGATAAATGATTTCTACAGTACTACATTCAACTAAATGTTAATGTGAAAAAAACAATTTTTTAGTTTTAAAAGTGACAAAAGAGATGGGTAATTCATTCAGTTTATGTGTTACATTTTAGTTAAATAGAACTGCAAATGGTATGAGAAATTTGAATGTGAAGTCCTATAGATTCCTTTTGAAATGTATACATTGTTTAATGATAGTATCCATTTCACTTGAACACTTTTGAAGAGACTTCCTATGTGTGGATTTCATATTTTGGGTACCAGAATTTCTTTTTTAATTTCTTTCTGAACTGTTGGAAAACCCTTTGTAGTATGTGTTTTGTGGAAAGATTCATTTAACATTAAAATCATCTTCAAATGAAAATAATATGCTGTAAAATCTGTTTCATAGGTTTGGATAAATACCTCAGACATTATTTTGATTGGTCTCCGAGAGTATCAGGTAAAAACTAAGTTTAAATTTATGTTGCAGCCTCCATAGCAAGTCATTAATTGTTAGGAAACACAGAATTAACATTGTTGGGCAATTCTAGGCCAGTGTGTTTTTAACCATTCTGCTGTTTGCATTTTGTTTAACACTATAGTGTTTTTACTACAATTTATTAATCGTGTATTTGTTTTTATTTTTTGTAAGAAGACTTGGTCAATACAGTTTCTATTTATATATGTATTTATTTTAAATATTTATTTATTTATTTGAAAGGCAGAGTTACAGAGAGCCCGAGACAGAAGCAGTGAGTGAGAAAGAAAGGCCTTTATTTGAAAGATTTACAGAGAGAAGCAGAGAAAGAGACATCTTCCATCCGTTGGTTCACTGTCCAGTTGGCTGCAACAGCCAGAGCTCCACGATCCAGGAGCCAGGTGCAGCTCTGGCTGTTGCAGCCAACTGGAGAGTGAACCAACGTTGGAAGACGTCTCTGTCTCCTCCTCTTTCTCTGTATATCTGTCTTTCAAATAAATAAAATAAATCTTTAAAAAAAAGAAAAAAACTTCGCAGAATGCACAGAGCAGTCAAAGCTGGAATAAGCCAAAGCCAGGAACCTGAAACTCAATCTAGTTTTCCTATAGGATTTGAGGGTTGTCCCAGCCTCTTTAGTTTTCCAAAAACCTGTTCTTAAGTCATAATTTGTTGTTTTTCAAAACTGAATATTTTGTATGTCATTATGATGTTTTGTTACTACTGCTTGTTTTTAGTGATTTATGAAAAATAGAAGATTGTTTCCCTGTCCTACTTTATTCAGATGAAATTACAGATGTCCTATATTTTTAATTATTTAAAATTATATATTTTTTCTATTTGTTTTAGAATTTTTTACTAGAGTACGGGTGGGTAAAGGAAGAAAAGCAGTGCAGTGTTATGAGTTTTACAAGTTTGTTTATTTCTAAGGATAACAAAGCAGACGTAATTTTAAAATACAATGCAGATGAAGCTAGAAGTCTGAAGGCATATGGCGAGCTTCCTGAACATGGTAATGTCTATTATTATAATCTACTCTGTCATAGATATTTTCTTTTTTTTCTTTTTTTTTTTATTTTATTTTATTTATTATTTATTTATTTATTTATTTATTTATTTATTATTTATTTATTTTGGCAGGCAGAGTGGACAGTGAGAGAGAGACAGAGAGAAAGGTCTTCCTTTGCCGTTGGTTCACCCCTCCAATGGCCGCCGCGGCCGGCGCACCGCGCTGATCCGATGGCAGGAGCCAGGAGCCAGGTGCTTTTCCTGGTCTCCCATGGGGTGCAGGGCCCAAGCACCTGGGCCATCCTCCACTGCACTCCCTGGCCACAGCAGAGAGCTGGCCTGGAAGAGGGGCAACCGGGACAGAATCCGGCGCCCGGTACCGGGACTAGAACCCGGTGTGCCGGCGCCGCAAGGCGGAGGATTAGTCTACTGAGCCGCGGTGCCGGCTATGTCATAGATATTTCATTCTTTGTGTTTAGTTGAAGGAATTTTCATGGAGTTGTCTGTGACATTAAATATATACACTTTCTGGTGAGTTTGTAAGTTTGCAAAACTTTGAAACCTGGATTTGTATAAACGTCTGTCAAAGTAACACATTATTAGCATTTTTCCATTTAACATTTCTCAGCCGACTCATAGTTTTCATTTTCTTAAAAAGATTTTATTTATTTATCTGAGAGGTAGAGTTGCAGACAGTGAGAGGGAGAGACACAGAGAAAGATCTGAAAATCAATTGAAATTCTTTGCATTGAGGAAGTGCCGATGTCTGTGAATTAGTCTAGCACCTCCTTTTCTCTTTTATTATGTATTTATTTTAAAAAGATTTATTTATTTATTTAAAAGACAAAATTACAGAGAGACATAGAGATGAGACAGAGAGAGAGAGGTCCTCCACCCACTGGTTCACTCTCCAATTGGCCGCAATGGCCAGAGCTGTGCTGATCTGAAGCCAGGAGCCAGGAGCTTCCTCTGGGTCTCCCATGTGGGTGCAGGGGCCCAAGGACTTGAGCCATCTCCAACTGCTTTCCCAGGCCAGAGCAGAGAGCTAGATCAGAAATGAAGTAGCCAGGACTCGAACTGGTGCCCATATGGATGGTGTCGCTGCAGGCAGATGCTTAGCCCAGTATGCCACAGCACAAGCTGTGCGTCACTGTTATTTCTTAAATGATAAACATGATTTGACTAAATCTTGCTCTGGTTTGCTAAGTTTCTCCAGTAGTTGTAGAACTAGTTGTTTTAATCTCATGATGTTTTATACTTCATGTGACTACATGTTGTTTAGTCATACTCATTTGATGTTTTTAAAATTGTTAAATTTTTAAAATGTTATTAAAATTATGTTGCACTGAACAAAAGTGCAGCACATATATTCTCTGTTGTAATGACTTAGGAATAGATGAATTTCTGGGGGATTTTGTTGTTAGATTGCTTTATATAGCTTCATAAAGCAATATATTTTGCTCCTAATAGCAGAACTTTGGTTGAATGGAAGGTTGGCCTATAATAAGACTCTTGCGGTTACTCATTTTAATAACATTTTAATTGTGTAATGAATGTTTTTTATGCATTTATTATTATTTAGCTAAAATCAATGAAACCGATACATTTGGTCCTGGAGATGATGATGAAATCCAGTTTGATGATATTGGAGATGATGATGAAGACATTGATGATGTAAGTACATGACCCTAAAGGTTGAGGGGGTGTGTTTGCTAATAATGTTTTAGTGCTTAATGCATAATGGAAATGCTGTGAATTTGAATATATTATTAGAAACAATCTAGCCAATCTACGTGTTTATACTTGGACAGCACTTTCTGAAAAGTAATTATTAACTTTCCCAGTGGATATTGCATGGTTACAGTTTGTATAAGCAGAGTATCTAAATAGATATTTCTGTTAAATAAAATAGTAGAAGATTTTTGTTTGAACTAACTAGTGATATACTGAAGTTGCTGCATTTTTTAAAGGTTTATTTGAGATGCAGAGTTACAGAGAGGTATGAGAGAGAGAGACAGAGGTCTTCCATCTTCTGGTTCACTCCCCAAATGTCTGCAATGGCTGCATCTGTGCTGAGCTGAAGCCAGGAGCCAGGAGCTTTTTCCATGTGGTGCAGGGGCTAATTTACTTATTTTGAAAGAGATGTGAAGAGAGACAGAGAGAGACAGGATCTTCCATTTGCAGATAGCTGCAGCAGCCAGTGCTGGTCTAGGTAGCTTCATTTGGATCTCCCATATGGGTGGCAGGGCCTTCTGCTTGGGCCATCTTTAGCTGGATTTCACAGGCCATTAGCAGGTAGCTGGATCAGATACGGAGCAGCATGGATACTGCTCTTCAAGGCAGAAGCTTAGCCCACTATTCCACAGTGTGCTGCCCTACTGCAAACTCTTAAGCCTGATTGTGGAGACAGATATTATGGAGCATGTAATAGGAAAATACTAATTTCTTTGTGAGGCATTGTTATTGCCCAGATCCTTGGTTTGGTCTTGTTGCATGCTTATTTTGTGCAAACCTAAAAAAGTGATGAGGACACAGAACTGAATGCCTTGCTACTGTTCTGTTGTTAACTCAATTTAAATGAAACATCCTGATTTTCTGTTTATCTATTAAAATAACTATATAGCTTACATTTCAATCTAGATTTTTTCTTACCACAGTGCAACAAAATAGTTCAGAAAAAAAATCTGCATAGTTGCACACACAAACAATGCACACATAGAAAAACACAAAATGGTTTTTTGCAGTTGTTTTTGACCAAGTTCATGCAATATAATAACCAGAGTTTCCAAAAAAATTATGAAGGCTAGTATCTTTGTGTATGTGCATTAAAAATTTTAAACACAAAGTAATCTGCTGGTTTTATATAAGTTTAATATATAGTTTATACTATATATCTTAATCTATCTTAAACATACAGAACTTCCGGCCGGCGCCGTGCTCAATAGGCTAATCCTCCACCTAGTGGCGCCGGCACACCGGGTTCTAGTCCCGGTTGGGGCACCCGGATTCTGTCCCGGTTGCCCCTCTTCCAGGCCAGCTCTCTGCTATGGCCAGGGAGTGCAGTGGAGGATGGCCCAGGTGCTTGGGCCCTGCACCCCATGGGAGACCAGGAAAAGCACCTGGCTCCTGGCTCCTGCCATCGGATCAGCGTGGTGCGCCGGCTGCAGCGGCGGCCATTGGAGGGTGATCCAACGGCAAAGGAAGACCTTTCTCTCTGTCTCTCTCTCTCACTGTCCACTCTGCCTGTCAAAAAAAAAAAAAAAAAAAAAAACATACAGACACTTCCTTTGCAGATCCTAGATACGATGGATTCCCAAGGGTAGAAAGTATTAAAAGTTAATTTCTTTGTCAAGCATCAAAAGTGTAACTATCATGGATTCAGGGTAGATTTGTGCATTTTTATAAGATTTTACTTTTCCTCATTACCTAAAATCCTAACAACTTCTGAATCATTTTTCTGGGAGGTTTATAGGTTATATAATTTTGCTCCTGTGACTAATCACTCAGAGAACAGATTTGGGTAGGACTGTGCCTCATCTAATTGTTAAGGACAGAAGGGTATACTGAACTTTTAAGGATATTTCCCATAGTAGAACATCTGAAACAGAAAGATTTTACTAATAGTAGATAGGAATTGAGAAAATCTAATGTATAATCTATTTCATTTAAAAGGAATTTGACATGTAATCCTGAAGAGATTCCTATGTTACAATAATTATTTCTTCATGGGTCTCTTTCTTTTCACTTACAGATCTAAATTGAATTCAGTTTTCATTTTCTGAAGACATTAACTGGGAATTTTGACCATCAACTTAAGAAGAATAGAACTTTATTTACCATGAGTATTGTTTATTAAAACAAATTGTCTTAATTCCGTTTTTTTTTAATGTATTTACTATACTATATTCTTTAAAATTGATGTTGAACCATCTTAGGTGACATATTAATTCTTTATTTTTTATATAATGAGACTTAGAAATAAAACATTTTAAAAAAGAGAAAGAAATGCCTTTCACACCATTGACAGTCACAGTTGCAAGAAATTGATGTTTAATCAGAATTGAAATCAAAATTGAAAGTCATAGATTTGTCTGGAATAGTATTTAACTAATTTCTATAGTCTATGGACTTGTTCTGTATCTTTCAGAAATATATTTATGGTCTCTATAACATTTAAGAATGATCAAAATATACTTTGGAATGGTGTCAGCTTAAGTATTTTATACTGAGTTTGTTACCTTTTATATTTTTGTAACTATTTGTTTTCATCCTTGTAAGTCCATTTGTAAAATGCAGTTTTCAAAATAAGGATGTATGTTACAGTTTTGAATTTATAAGACTTGTGGCTCCAGAAATAGTATATTGAAACTGGAAGAAGTAGCATAGTAATTGATGCCATTTCTTTAGCATGCATGGAAAAATTGTCAAGATGGTAAGGTACATCAAGTATTTTTTACTCTATGAAAAGTATGTTAAAAGGTGAAATTTTATTTATAACAGTCATCCATTGTAATCAGTTTTAAGCTTCATAAACAGATGAATTCAGTATTTAAGTGGAAAACTAACTTCTTAGTAAATTTTTTAAACCAAAAAATTGTAAATCTTTTCCTGAACTTGGAGTATGGTATTCTTCCTGTGTACACAAAACTTCCTGTCATTTTCAATGTAATGGGACATCTGTCTTCACAAGAAGACTGGAACCTCATTTTCCAAGAACACAATGGAGCTTTATTATCTCAGAATGCAGTAAGGCATCACTTTTCCCAGAGGGCAAGGGAACTGCCCAACCCCAGAAGGCAGGGTGTGATGACAGAATTGTTAATAAGGTGAGGGACTCCATGGTTGGAAACATGCAGAAGTAAAGGAGACAAGGAGAGAGGAGAAAATAGTTGAGGATTGCAGGTGCTGAGAAGAAAGGATTTGAAATGATAATATACTGCTATAGAATTCACCTGTATTCCATTCCCAAACCACCCAAAGCTAAAAGGTGAGCTTGAGATGGACATTTCCTTATTGCTTCAAAAAGCAATGAAAAACATGTAAGTTTTCATTTTTATGCATTGTTTTTGCACTGAGTACTGTATATCAGAGAAAACATATTTGTCTTTTAGGAACTGCCTTATTTCATTACGCAACATGATCTCAAGTCACATCCATTTTGTTAAAAAGACAGGCTTTCATTCCTTTTTATGCATGAGTAGTATTCCATAGTGTATATTTAACAGAATTTTAAAATTCAGCATGAGTTGATGGATAAGTTGATTGATCTATATGTGAGGTATCATAAATTGAGCTGTCATACTCATAGTAGTGCAAATATCTTTCATTCATGGATATTTTTCTATCATCTGTGTACCATTTATCGTTTGCTGCAGGAAGTTTTCTCCCATGATATACAAAAAAAATCACGTGTTCACAGTTCAAACAGGTCTTCAGAACATACCGGTTCTCATTTGGAATATTTGGAAGATGCATGGTTACAAGTTTCATAGGCATTTTCTCTGAGAAAACTTATAAACAGTTTTTCTCTCATGTTATTTTACTGTTTAAAGTTTTCTGCCATTGATTGGCAAACAAATATGATTCAGCCATGTGGTTTGTGTGTCTCCCAGGTGGTTGCAGCAAGTGCACCAAGGTCCTGTAGTGTCCCCAGGAACTTGCTATGGTTGCAGCTGAGCAGCTTAATGAATGGATGGGTGAGCAGGAAACTTCCCTGAGAGCCTCTCTTGGGATTGTAACACTATTCTGAATTGAAATACCCAGCAGAATGGCAGTGTACTTCACAACATTAATAGAAATGAAATGAAAAATATAATTTATGGTGCCAGTGCTATGGCATAGTGGGTAAAGCCGCCGCTGCAGTGCCGGCATCCCATATGGGTGCTGGTTCTAGTCCCAGCTGCTCTTCTTCTGATCCAGCTCTCTGCTGTGGCCTGGGAAAGCAGTAGAAGATGGCCCAAGTCCTTGGGCCCCTGCACCCGCATGGGAGACCCGGAGGAATCTCCTGGCTCGTGGCTCAGCTGTGGCTGTTGTGGCCATCTAGGGAGTGAACCAGCGGATGGAAGACCTCTCTCTCTGTCTCTACCTCTCTCTGTAACTGTCTCAAGTTTGATTGCTCATGGCTGCCTCTGTGCCACTTTCTGACTTCTGTATGTCTGTCTGAGGTTTCATTGGCCTTACCCCGTCTGTTAGTCTGTGGGTTCAACTGATTCTACCTTCTCTCTGTTTCAGGTTTTATTGCCCATGGCTGCATCTGTGTTACTGCCTCTCAGAGCTGTTTTCTCTCCTTTAGATTTGTTCTGACTTGTCTGTCCTCAGGTTCGAGTGGCTATGTGTGTATGGGTTTGATTAATTCTAGCTTTCTGTGTCTAAGTTTTGATTGACCATGCCTGCCTGTTGACTGACTGTGGGTTGGTTGTAGTACTCTGTCAGGTTTCTTTCTTTTTTTTTTTTTTTAATTTATAGATTTTATTTATTTGAGAAGCAGAGTTAGAGAGAGAGACAGAGAACCATTTGTTCACTCCCCAGATGGTCACAACAGCCGGTGCTGTGCTGCTCTGAAGTCAGGAGCCAGCAGCAGCATAGGCAAGGGCCAGGGTACATTCCACTCTGGTATTTGCAAGCCTGGACACTAGTATGTCAGAACAGTAAAGAAAGAATTTCTTTAGGAACTGGTGCAATTCATCTGTGTGCCTGTCAGATTCTGTAGGAGGAGAGAATTTTATTGGGTTTGCCAAAAGAAGAATGAGGTTGGGATGGAACACTTTGTTCTCCATTCCTGTGTGTTCTCTGGAAAAAAATAGGGATGTGTTGTACATGAGACAATGTATGACAAAAAACTTAAGTTCCCAGTGTTGCCCATTGACTTATCAGTCCTGCATGGATTGATTTTGCAGTGTGCACTTTGTACTATACATTTCCTCTACCCACAGGTATCAGGAAAGAGAAAAGGCACTCAATATAGGATGAAAAGACACAAATGGCCCTTGACTTCATTCATGTAAAACAGTTTTATCCATTATTAAAGCATATCTCTCAACCTATCTGATGCTCGATTTTCATTGTAAAATGAGATTAGTGCATGCCTCACAAAAAGGTGGGAAAATTAAATGAGTAAATACATATAGAAAGACATTTCCAACTCTTTAAGTACTATGTTAATGTGAGATTATTCAGCTTGATAATTGTTGGGGTCTCTAGGGTATTTCAATATATTCCATGGTATGACTTTTGTATATGACTGACAATTGGGAGAGTGCCTTTACAGCAAGCCACTTTAAAGATCCAGAAGCCATCTGATGTGCCTATTTTATGACAGGTTGTTCAGGGCCTCTGATCATCATTTGAAGTTACAATACAGTCATATTATGACATGTACTAGAAGCTTCCATTTCTACTCTAGTCCTTTTAGATCATGATAATACCCTCTATACATATGCTCTGCATATATTAAGTGATGATTAGAAATCCTGCATTAGCCACTTGAGGAAAAATTCTCACAGAATCCTGTCAAGCATCTCCATGAAATCCTAAGCCTCCTAGACTTCTTGGCTTCTTCTCAGTCCATCTGATCAAGTCATCCAAGAATCCAGTCACCTACCTATCCACCATTCATACACTCATGAACATACCAACTCATCCAAACATAACAACTACCCATCCATCCACAACCAGGTCACCTACCTATCCACCCATTCATCCACTCACATACAACCACCCATTCATCCACACAACTATCCTTCCATCCCACCCACTAGTCCAGCTATCCATCAGTCCTACTATCCCATGAGTTCATTGACCCTTGTGTATTTTTGAACATTAATTAATGATCTATCTTTCTAATGTCATACACTGTCTTTTGGTGTAGAAGCAGACCCAGTGCCTGCTCTCCAGGCACATAAAATTTGGCAGTAGAAAATTAGTTGACGAGTTAAAATAAACCTGGAGAAATTGACATAGAACCTGAGTAACACTTTATAAGTTATTTTTTTTATTTATTTAATTTTTGGACAGGCAGAGTGGACAGTGAGAGAGACAGAGAGAAAGGTTTTCCTTTTGCCTCCAATGGCCGCCACGGTTGGCGCGCTGCGGCCAGCGCACCACGCTGATCCGATGGCAGGAGCCAGGTGCTTAACCTGGTCTCCCATGGGGTGCAGGGCCCAGGCACTTGGGCCATCCTCCACTGCACTCCCTGGCCACAGCAGAGAGCTGGCCTGGAAGAGGGGCAACCGGGACAGAATCCGGCGCCCCACCGGGACTAGAACCCGGTGTGCCGGCGCCGCTAGGCGGAGGATTAGCCTAGTGAGCCGCGGTGCCAGCCAGGATATGATTCTTAAAGCAGTGAGTTAAAGCTATCTATTATGTTCCCTTGATGTCTCTGTTAAATCCTAATTATTTAAAAATAGCTGAGTTTTTATTTAGAGCTGTGGGTTATTTAAATATGTGCTTTTTTTTTTTTCCAAGCATTTGAATAGTCACCTTGTAACAAGGATCAGATTTGGTCTATATAATGTCATGATGTTAAAGAATTTTATTTCAACCAGATATTTTAGATTTTGAGCTTTCTTGACATCCTTGACAGTCATTCAAAAAATCAAAATTCCAAAAATTTACACTTTGACAATTCCAGATGTGCTCCTGGAAATTTCAAAGACATATGTCTCATCATAGAGAGACACAACTAATCAGGCTATTTGGATTATATTAGAAGTACTGTCAAGATGTGAAGTGGTGCTAAATTTTAAGTTTTATAATATAAAATGCTACTGATATAAATGTCTGAATGTTAAAAAGTTTAATGATCTTGTGTTACTAAATTAATGGTCATCTTAATGAGAAAGGCCCTGAGGTCTAAAAGGATTAGATGCTTTC